AAGAATAAGGAAAGCAGAAATCATGAGGTCTTGTTTTCCTCAAAAAGCAAAGCTAATAAGAAACCTTTATTAAATAGCTGCTATAGCAGAGTAAGGATGCTACCAAGCTTGCAGTGATTCCACATGCTTCAAAGATCCAGAGCACATTTCCTACATGTAGGACACGCACGGCAACCCAGGCACTCAGAGGAAAGAATGACTACCAAAGGTTCTTTGAATGATGTGGCTATCTCTTTCATTTTAAAAACGTTTCCTCCTTATCACAAGCTGCATATGACCATACCATACGGAAAACCAATTTCCAATTAGCTGTGAAGATAATGACTTATGTCATAATGCCTTATGTCGAAGGATGTACTATGTAAATAATTCAGTGTTGCTGGTATCAATTATAAGATCTCCTACAAAGTAATCCAGAAGAAGAGATGTAAAACTGTAAAGCTTCTACAATAGTTTATATACAGTCAACTACACCTTTCCAAAGTCTGGACATAAAGGCCAAAGCGACAGGGTAACCCTATACTCCAGCAAACAAGAATTTAACACGGAAATACCAAAGTAGTTTAAATTAGCTAGTTTGCAATCAAGTAGCAGTTTAGTTGGACATGCTACATACTAATTTACGCTGAATTTCAGCAAAATCCAAATAATACAGATACAAAGATGAACCTGACTAATGTGGGAAGAAAATTTCCAAGGACGTATCTGTCAATACAATTCTATAGAAAGACAACATTTAACACTTAATAGCCAAGATTAAAAACAATCTAAAAACCTGAGAACTATACTAGATTTATATATATATATGTGTGTATGTTTATATATATAGCTATAAAATGTATCTATCTATCTGTAAAATGATATGCCTATTTTCACTGAAGATATTCCAGTTCTAGGCAGCTGCACGATGCTGAATCTGAAAGCACTAGCGTTGCACAGCTGAATAAAATAAATTTCAATTTTTTTATGTTACTAGATCTTTCTCTTGTAAGTTTTCAGCAGTTTCATGCAACTCAAACAAAAACATTGTATTTATATAAGCATGGGTCACTCTCCTCCTCAGCTAAGTGTTAACTACTGTTTGAATACTGCTATGTTTTTCTGTTTGCTTAATGGGGAGAAAAAGTGATCAAATCCCATGTTTTTCTTAACACAGAATATGAACATCAATATGATAGCTGCTTCTGTAGCCTACAATAACATGGTACTTCACAGGAAATGACTGCAGCATAACACAGGTATTGCATACTTCATAGGGAAAATGACCCACGTGAGAAGATCAAAATCGGACATCCTAGCAGAGCTGTAGAATTGTTTTCACTTGGCCATTAGCATTAATAAACACTTCAAAGAATACTTAGGGAAACTATTTCAACTACCTTTTTGTTCCTGTTTGTAACTCTTCAATTTTGACAAGAGTTTAGCTGGTAGCTGCTATAGGATTTAAGACTAGGAGTTATGAGGGCTTAAAAGTTGGACTATTTTCTTAGCTACTGGTTCAGATCCCAAAGTGAACTTAAATTTTGGACCTTTGTTTGTTTCTTTGTTATTGTTTTGGTTTGGGTTTTTTTTGGTAATAAAGAATTTTAAAAATGAGATTTTGTAACTCATAAAATTAAAAACGCAGCTATCAATCCACATCATATACATCATGGAATATAATTTGGTATTCTTTGTGAAAGAGTAAATAGTGGGGGAGGAGGCTTAATAAAAGTCAGGTAAAACTATTACTAAAAGCAGTTTCTATTAAGTCAGAGAATAATTATTCTGTAATGCACTTAGTACAACGATAAATCATACTAATAGCAAAAAAATCGTCTTCTTTCCAGGGGAATGTTGGGAAATTCAAGAGAAATATACACATAAAGCATTGAGCACATACTGCTGAATAATCACAGTTTATTGAGTCTTACATTTTACTAATCTAGTATGGGTTTATAACAATATAGAGATATTTTCTTTTATACGCACAAACAGCTTAAATTTATACATCATTGATCATGGAGAGGATGCAGCCCATGGCTCTGAAAGATATTCCTCTATTAATTGCAAAGTAATACAACATGCACATACTATTCTTTGCTAATCAAAAAGTAAAAAAATGGTAGCAACAATGCCACGCATTCTGCATCAACATTCTCCAAAAAATAACTCTGACATTAGGCATTCTGAACTTCATGAAAACAGAAAACTTCATCTATTTTAAAAAAGAGGTGCTTAAATTTAAGGCCTAAACCCTATATTTATTTGTGTGTTAGTGTCCAGCTTGAAAGGTGCATAGTGTTTAATAGCTTACATGAAAGTCAAAGCAATACCTGCCTGTGATGAGAAGAAAACTTTATAAAAGAAAGGACCTGACAGAAAGTAGTGGCTGACACGAAGCCTTTCCACCAGCTTCAACAGGATTGGAATTAGGCACCACCAGAACAAGTGACCACCCAAGCAACTTCAGTTTTTCTTGACTTAAGAACAGGTTACATAACTTACAAACTGATTGTTTACAGTGTGCTAATATTGGTAATGACTGCATTTTGGAGCCTGGAGCCCATGCATCAATGGGCTTTCCTTGGTTTTACCCTATACTTTATTTATTATCCACCTATTTTCAGAGCAATGTATGTGCGAGTTAAAGACA